CCCCTATCGAAGTACAAATCAAATATTTCGAATTCAGCCCCAAGTTGTGCATGGTACTCACGTAAGGGAATATGAAAATTTCTGCAGAAGAATTACTAACTCGGCAACCAGAAGAGCTGGAAGACTGAAATTTTAGGCCGATGTTCCCTGTCCATAGTGCAATTTAAAAATTTTAAATTCACCTTTACAAGCACGTGGAGTACACAAGTGCGAGTGTGTGAGGGTTTTGGCGGGAAAACTGCTCACTCGGTAACCAGGAAAACTGGAAGGTTAAAATTTTGAGGGAATTTTCCCTGTCCAAGTACAACTTAAGTATTTCAAATTCGGCGTTGAGGTATGTGCGGTTCTTAAGTACGAGCGCTTGAAAGTCTTGACGCAAAAATTTCTCACTGAACAACTAGGTTACTTTTAAAGAACGACTGTTAAATGCAAATTATACGTTTACTTTGCAAAATTTGTGGTGATTTATGCTGGTGACCGCGAAAAGTAAAACAACAGCCATTCATACAGTTAATGACCTGAGTATTTCAAGTCCTGTGCAAAAACGCATGATCGCACGGGCCCGCCTGGTACGTTCCAGCCTGGGTTATATTTGTGCAAAGCTGTACTGCGGCGTGGTGTTGCGTGAAAACGGCCTGTCGATTTGCCGACGATCTGTGAGTTCGTTTCAGGCAATCTTGACTCATCATCATCATCATCATGTTCTGTGCACCGAGATCTAGCAGCGCTATGCTTACGGCTAATCAGTCGCATCCCGGGCTCTCCGTGCTCTCTGTAAATTTGCACAGTATTCTGTCGGACTGGGATGCCGAGCATACGAATCCATCATACGACACAAAGGCCGCTCTTGTGAGGTTCGTTATCTGCCTCCTTTCCGCTGAAAATATATTTCTTTATTCCCTGCGCGAAATTCGTTTGAAGTGATGCACGAATTCGATGAGTTAAAAGACACACATCGCTATCTTTGGGGCTCGAATGATAGCACTGCGCCATGAGCAACCATCCGATGCCAACGATCGCGGTGATTTTCCCCTTTGTGGGGCTTTTTTTTGGGAAGCATCGCTTTCACCCCTGAGTGGCATATGAAAATTACCGACGCCGGAATTTTCTTATGGGGCATTTCGCCGATATCACTCAAGGTCTTCTCGAGCACTGATGAATTGAAATTTTCCTCGATTTCCGTATCTGGCCAGATGGCCGTATTCAAGAGATTTGACCTCACGTGGTATGATTAGGTGCGGGAAAGTG